TATATATATCCGACGATTATATATATATATATCCGACGATTATTCCTATTATATGTGAGGTAATTTTTTGAAATAGAGCAACAGATAGAATAGAATAGAATTGAAATAGACGATGGAAATTAATAGGATAGCAACAGAATATAGAAATATAATTAAAAGAGTAAATTATAAATGTTCTCTTCCCAGATGGTTATGCACACCAAAAAAATATAATCAAAATTTTTTTTGAAAATTATTAATTCCACTGTGATCTTTTTTGATCATTTTTTTTCTCTGTTCGTTAGAAAAGAGTCGATACATAATGTTCCAACGATTAATTTTACATGAAACAACAGTAGAGTTGTCTTAAAAGCTATGCCATAGCTATTTTTCAAATTTATTGCTTCGCTAAATGAAGCCTTAGGATGTCATATAAAACAAAGTTATTTTTCAGAAATTTTTTAGGATCTTTTTTATAAGCATTGATTACATTTTAAAGCAATAGGTTTAATCACTGATAGATCCTTTATTCAATTATTTCCCACAATGATGTAATGGGCATTTTAGACATTATCGGAAAATGGGCAAGAGAGTTCACTACATAATTCTGCCAATGATTCTGGCCACGAAACATCATCACCCGATTTACCACTAACACCAGTGGAGGAAGAAACCGTTTCACCTGGTTATTTTCCTTTCATTTTCGATTGTCATAATTGTTAAGCGAGAGTTAAATTGCATTCAGGAATTTTGAAATTAGCGCACTTACATACCTGCCCAACAATCGATCATCAGATGTTTTATTTTTTTGTAGAAAAATACCAGTAGATGTTTCATTTTCTTTTTCTTTTTCTTACGAAGATGAAAGAACATGAGAGTGGTTACAGTTGGTTATCTTAGGATGGATGGAATAGAATGATGACGGAATGGATAATGAATCGCTACTATTGTGTTTCTGGGATAGAATAAGATGTAAATGAAAGATTAAAGTTTTCTAATTTCTGATTTACATTGTTTTATAATAATAAATGAAATATTTATCGTTCATCGATAATATTATACATTTATTATAAGCCAATATTTTGAAATTATAACTTGAAGCCATATGTGCATGTAAATACGGCGTGCATTATGTAATACTATTAAGTAGCAAATGTATGATTTACAAAGATTTTTTTTTACATATTTTATTCATACTTTTGTATTTTAAATATTTCCAATTCTATTTGCATCCAATATAGTGCCATGATAACGAAATATAGTAGACAAAAAAATTTCATTCGAAAACTTTCCAAATCATTTGAAAAAGTACTTGTTTTTGATAAGATCGATTGTTTCACAAGCAAGTGATTAGTATCAGCCAGCTGAATAATTTGAAAAGAATGTTCATTATAAACATCACAAATCTTAGTAAGTAAGAAGATGAAACTGTAAAGGTTATCGAATGCTTATCCATTTACATTCACCTCCAATGAAATTACTGATGAAGCGGAGCTGATTCATTTACCACTTCTCATCGAAAAATTTCCAAATGCCAGCGAAAATGACGGGCATCTCCTTATAATATTATATCAAAATGTGCTATATTCATGAAATGGAAGATAATTTCTTTGCAAGTTTTATCAAAATTTTTGTAAAATTTTGCCTTTTTAGTTTTTCATTCAGAAAATCGTCATGAATGAAAGGTCAGGGTGGAAACTATAGAACTATTTTAATTTTCAATTAAAATGTTTCAATTATTTTACTTCTTCGTTCTACTTTCAAAATTAATTTTTCTTTCAAACTTTTCCTCTAGACAGGTAAGAATAAAAATTTCACGGTCCTGCAGAAAATTTTATGGTTTCTTTTCAGTCATGAATATGTTGAAACAATGTTTCATTATTTTTTTTTAGCAAAAACCGGTAACAACGATGAGGCATTATGTCCGAGTGATGAATGTGAAGCAACATTTCGCATCCGTATTGTTGCACCTGGTGCAGAATCGTTTGATTTGCAGGTGCTTCATCTTAATGGGAATATTAATTCCAGATATAAATCCAAATATTAGTCTTTGCGAATATAAATCTAAATATTTCGGAATTCTTAATCTTGGGATTATGCAAAATTTTCAAATCAATAATTTTGAAGTTTTATCACATTCAAATCCACAATCTGACAAAGAAAAACAGATTAAAAACTGATAGTCGTTTTCGTCAGCTCTTTCCGCTCCATCCTTACTCATATTTTTCTTTATCATCCTTTCTGTTTGCTTCCTTAAATCCCTCTCTTCTGGAATTTTTCATTTTGAATTGGAAACATATTTATTGAAATTGCAAGTTTCCTGAAAAGCAAACAAGAGAGGTATGTGTTAAGCTTAATTGATAATGGTGCTTGTTGTTAGGTGAAGAGAAGTTTTTTTCAGGTAAGTTCGAATGAAATGGTGCAGGAGCTACATCAGGTGCTATTAGAACGTGAAGCAACATGTCATCGTACGTGTTTCAGCTTGCAGTTAAATGGCGTTTCTTTGGATCATTTTACCGAATTGAAAAATGTTGCTGGTCTTACAGATGGATCTGTATTGAAAGTTGTCGAAGGCAAGGATATGGCTTCTTCCATTTCAATGTAATTTGGTTGGGAATTTCTCGGAAAGTTAAAATATGCCAAATATTATTTAACGGGCTGCCACTTAATTCGAATTTTACGTTATCGTCAAGTTCTGATATACATATGCATTATTATCGAAGCATGAAGAAATCAGTCGTGGCTGTGATTTGTACTTACATCTCACAACTATGATGTAGACGCACGTATTGAAAGTGATATTGAAGACGAAGTTTTGAAACTTATGCGAATTTATTAGGATGTGGGTAAAGTATTCGTAATCATCGGTATCTAATCAAGAAAAAAAACAAGTGTGGGATTTTTCTGGTAGAATGTATCGTAGTGTAATATCGAATTTTTGAATTTTCTATTTTTTTAATGAATCATATGTAATCAGAATTTCTGCCGAAGTATCATATTTTTTCATCACCATATGATTTTCAGAACCATATACAACTCGAGAAGCTCGAATTCATGTTCGACATGTTCGTGATTTAATTCGTTCTCTTGATATGTCTGATGCTGTTAATGGTACTGATGGTGCATCACTATCATATCTTCCTACAGTGATACTAGGTGATCGTAAAAAGAATGCTCAAAAGTAAGTGCTTCACTATAAAGTAAATTTTCATGTGTGAAAAGGACTGTTTTTATTGGTGTCGTCGATTTGTTGAAGAGTACTTTGTGCTATAAGTTTTTGCTATAATACATAACAGCAGTGAATAGAGCATTGATATTTTCAGTTCTTAATTAAAAAGAAAAATTAAAAGGCAAGTCATGAATAAATTGCTGATGTTGGAGGATGTGAAAAATAACAGCGAGTTGGAAATGTATTTTTCAGATCATTAGAATGTTCTCCGCCAGATTATGTCCTGCCAGGTTATAAAGAACGTCCATTAATACCATTACTGCCAGTAATGAATGACCCTGTGTTAGCGTTAAAAAGTTTGGCAATTTCACCGTTTAATCCACCATCAGGACATCGAAAATTGAAGGTTCACATCAAGAACCATTTCTAAAACTATTTTAGGAAATTGATAATAAAAAAGAGATAGAATTTAAAAATTTCGATAATTTTTTGCATCATCCTATTAACAGAAAATTATGAAGCTGTTCTACAGGGAGACGTTCTCTATTTGGTGGTTGAAACACGAGAAGGACGACGTTATCACATAACTTGCTGTACGAAAGGCTTTTATGTGAATGCAACTACTGAAGCAGGTTTCCAACCAACACCTTCACCATCCCATAGAGTTATTCATCACTCATTGTTGGATTTGCTTTCATCGATTAGTATTTCGTTTAAACGAGCTATGGTGTTGATTTTGAAGAAACGTTCTGAAAAGCATATTTTCGAGCGATTGCCAACACCATATCAGGTATTACTGTTTTACTTTCCTTTTTAAATTGGATTTTTAAAACTAAAATAGTGAGTCTGGTAAATTGGATCGGAAGACTGACCAAATGGGCATTATTGTCATCATTTTATTTAAACTGTATTTATCCACGTGTATTTGTGAAAGGTATCTAGTTGGAATTGCACTTGTTATAAGTAATGTTATCTTTTCATTTCAAATGCCTTAACTATTCTTGATAAGCTGTTATGTACATTTTGCAGTTGAATTGTAAATTGCAATTTTCGTTATTTTTTTGCAAATCAAGGAAGTTCAAGATTTAAGGAGGAGATGGTTAAGTGACTTTCAGAATTTCTTTGATATCATTCTTTAGCCGTCGACACTAATACTTTTTTACAGGTAAATTCCTGGGTAGCACCGATATTCGAGCAAAACGAAGATGGAATTCGCGCAGAAGACTGTACACAGCCTCATAAAATTGGTCTTGAAGATCATATTCCAGGACAAATTCGTGATTGGAACGAGGAGTTACAAACAACCCACGAGTTGCCACGTGAAACACTCGGTGAACGACTTGTTCGGGAAAGAGCTATTTTTAAAATTCACAGCGACTTCGTTTCTGCTGCGATTAAAGTTATTATTCATCACATCTCATTTTAACTATCTCTTTATTAATAGTAAGAAATTAGTGTCCTTTTGAAGTAGTTCGACTAGCTACCAAGGATTCATTTTATTCTGTTTCATATGCTTAAAAATAAATCGCTGGAAAGGTAGAAAGGTACTAGTGGCATTCTCGGGCTTTTTTGAAAAAGTATCACGGCAACGAATGAGAGGAAATCCTATAGTTTATGACTATTATTTACATTGCCCAAATGACTCTTATGCTTGCTAAATTTCAACAAAAAAAAAGAGATTGCTTTTACTCCGATTTACGATAAAATTGTTTTTCTGGGAGCGATGGCAGTTGTCGATGGAAACGTTGTTGCAATAAATCCGGCGGATGAACCGCGAACGCATATGTATATATGGAATAACATATTTTTTTCACTTGGGTTTGATGTTAAAGATCACTACAAGGTTAGATCAGCGTATTCTGTCGAACAGAATCCTGGTTCATTCTTATGTCACAATTTGTATCTCAATTTTCGATTTTTTATTTATCATAATTTTGTCATAATTTCAAAAATATATATGTTCCGCATGTCGATAATAGAATAGTGACTCGAGCGCTAGTACTTTAAAATTCCGGTGTACGAGCTTATTTGGAATATCTTTGAACACAGTTCAGGAAAAAGAGTAAGCTCATATGTTCAAACAATTTTATTGGTTACTGAAGGAATGAAATTCCGGTGTCAAAGAACTTCAGTTTTCTAACAGTTTTCACGATTTCAGGAATTGGGAGGCGATGCAGCTGCTCATGTGGCAACATCGAATGATTTACAAGGTGTACGAGCTTATGCGCAACTTGATAATCCAAAACTTTTTACTTTGGGTATGGTCATAGTTGACTACAAGGGATTTCGGTAATTATGTTTCTTTTTTTGGATTGTGGAAGATATTTATAAGTCCGTAGGGAGATAATCTAATTTTATGAAAGAATTTTCTGTTGATATTTAGTCATGTAGGAAATGGCTTTTATAGCAACGTTTAATTTCTGATATTTCAATTTCAAATTCTCTTAAAAAATAATCTCTCATAACCGTTGTGCTTTATGATTATATATTAAAAATTTGTGCACTATTCATTTAAGTAATAGACGAAATGCATTACAGGGTCACTGCGCAATCGATTATACCAGGTATTTTGGAAAGAGAACAGGAGCAAAGTGTTGTTTACGGGTCGGTCGATTTTGGCAAAACAGTTGTTAGCTCTGAGGTAATTCTTTGCTTTCAGTAGCAGCCAATGATTATAAAATTATGGAATGATTTATATTTTGATTGACCATCGATAAATGGATTTTTTCTTATTTCGGTCCAAATGAGTGCAAATTTAATTGAGTCTTCAAAAGGAAGTTGTTTAATTTGAATTTTGATTCTAATGTAAATGTTGCTTTGATTCATGCTTGTCTATCAAATATTTTAAAAGGAATATCACGATTTACTATCGAAGCCAGCAGAGCAGTTGAAAATTTTACCTCATGAAGTTTATAGTGGCAAGGGTGACGGAAAAATCATTAAACTGTGCTCATCTTTTGAAACTAAAGTAAGCATTTTTGTTGACTTTCTAATTTCAATACAAGTAATACTATCCATTAACGCAGAATGTTTTGCTTGGCTAATGATTTTTTAAGACTAATAGTTTTTATTTTACATCACGGACGATATGATTAAAGTTCGTTTTTAAGTACTGGAAAATTTTTTTCAGTTTAGAAAAGGAGCATTCTATAAATTGACTTATGCTTGTAATTTAAAGTGCATTCTATAAATTGACTGGTGCTTGTAATTTAAAGTTCCATTGGCTGCTTTACCTTTTACAACGTTTTGTTAAAGTGATATAGTTAAAATGGTTAAAGTGACAAATTATTGTTAGAATGGAAATGAATAAATAGGATTCATATATGATATACAAGTCGTGTTGTTAAAATGGTTAAAATGACAACTTGGAATGAATGAATAGAATTCATAAAAGATATACGACCTATGAGAGTTAAAGTTAATCCACTATTTGAACGAGGTAACTTCTTGCCCAAAGGATAAAGAATTCAGTCAACGACTGACCTATTGTAATCGAACTGGAATTTCTGTGATATATCTCACGATACTGTCCTTTTTTCCAAGAGAATTTGTTATTGAAATGAATACGATAAACTGAGGTATAGTTGTAGTTGCCAAAAAGCAATGTGGTTAATTTGTCAATTAATTCATTGTTCTTTTTAGGGTATTGTTGGAAACGATTCGCGACATTATATTTTAGATCTATTACGAACTTTTCCACCAGATGTAAATTATCTTGAAGATGCAGAAGTAACGGATATTTGTAAAGCAAATGGGTATCCACGTGCGTTTCCTCATAAGCTTGCTTTGCTGAGGCAGGAACTAATTGAAGCTTTCGTCGAGTTTGTTTTTCAGCATTTTGCATTTTTGGTCTTATTAAGAGAATCTTAGCTACAGCATTTTAGATAGTTGCTGAGCAATATGCATGTCATTTATGATATTGTTTAATGAATTTGTGATATATTAGTATTAAGAAAATGATGTACGCAAATTTTTTCCTTATGGTTCTAGATTTGGTTTTGTTATTTATTATCCAAGTAGATTCGAAGTTTTGAGAAGCATCTATTTCCCATAAAGTTATATAAAATAATTTTTTGCTTGATGTGCAAATTTTGGTATATTCCGCTTACTTTATTTAATGACTGATTAAATAATTCAGATTTACATAATCTTTTGTTTATCTTAAAGGTGCCGTTATTTGACGTTTATTCGTGTAGCTGCATATCATGTGCAGCAAAATAGACTAGGATTATTGGCAGCGGGAGATGATGATAATAATGAAGCGAAGGAGAAGGAAGATGTCGTTCAGAAAGTGGACGGACTCAACTGCACGACGCAGGAGGATGCAATTATGAGTCAAATTAAGGTATTTTTATTAAAGGATTCTGTATTTTCTAAGAGCTTAAGAATATATTTATTAGTGGTGATGAAAAAGTACTGAAGTAGAATCGTTCTCTGTTTTCGGTCTTTCAGACCAAAAAAGTGTCTGCTTACTAATTTTTGGAGACATTTAACAATAGAAATTATTATTAAGAAAATGATGTACGCAATCTTTTCCTTAAGGTTCTAGGTTGGTTATTTAATATTCGAGTAGATTCAAACGTTTTGAGAAATATCTATTTCCCATAAAGTTATATCAAATAATTTACATTGAAAATGGCAGTAACATCGTTAATTTTCGGCTGCTTTGAGACAAAAAAGTTCATTGAGAAATCCAAAAATTCAATGTGAAATTTGTTGTATTATTATAATTATTATTACTATTTACTGTTTATTGTTTATCATTTGTTATTATTCATTATTATTTATTATTTATCATCATTTATTATTGTTCATTACGGTTTATTGTTTATTATCTACACTATTTCTTATTATTTTATTTGTTTATTCATCATTTATTATTATTAATTATTATTACTTATTATAATTATTAATTATTACTATCATTATTATTGATTATTACTAATTATTATTATTATTAATTATTACTAATTATTACTGGTTATTATTAATTATTACTGTTTTTAGTTATTATTATTATTGTTATCGTTATCATTATCATTACTACTATTATATTATTAAAGTAGCTGTGTTATTTGATTATTATAAAATCTATGAATCTTATCAATGATAGCAATATTGAAATCACTTTCAAATTACTTTCATATTGATTTTTTTCAGCATTTATTAAACAGAAATAGAACTTTTGCAGAGTGAAACAACTGTTGATGTGAATGTTGATGAGATACCGTTGCTGGAAACTGAAACAGCGAGAAAAATCATGGAAGAAGTTATTAACAGTGATGAAAATAAATCTGACAATTTGGACAAAGAAATATCTGAGCAGGTAAATGCTCAGGTGCTAATATTAAGAGTTTGTTATGTATATAATCATTTTTTTGTCAAAAATTTCAAATAATTTCAAATTTTTAAGGCTTGGGAGCTTATTAAAATTTTTATATTTTTTAACGATTCTTTTTTTGAGAAAAATGTTCATTTTGTTATTTTGAAGGTAATGGCAAAAGCAGCAAAGGCAGTAGGATCAATTCGTACGGATGCATTTGATATAAGGTTTAATCCGGATTGTTATTGTACAACGGTACGTCATGCTGAGAATGAAGATATTGCAAAGCAGCGACGTTTGGTAGCTGAAGCAGCAGAATTTTTAGTTGTACAGGTATTTTTCTTTTTTCGTGTTGAATTTTTTAATATTTTGAAAATATTTTAAATAGTGTTGATGAGTCATGAACTTTTAGCGGACTAAACATATTACTTAGTAATCTTATGCAATGATAAAAATGAACCTAACAAATTGGTTGGTATGCATAGTGTGTAATTTTAGTGAAATAATATATTAATACAATGAATAATCTTACTGGTTTTAAAAGTAACCCATAATTTTAATTCCTTCAAATATGTATTATTATTTACAATATAGCTAATATTTCATTTAGCAGTTGCCAAATTTCGTCCGTGACTGTTTGCAACGTACGATAATGCCATTGGATGGTGCATCACTTAGTGATTCGTTACATTCACATGGTATTAATATACGATATCTAGGTAAATTGACGAAATATATCCAAAATATTAGGCAGCTGACATATCTTAAGGTAAGCAATCAATTTCTTATTTGTTCTTACTGTATTGAGTTTCATCTTATTAATTTTGAACGAGATGCATGCACAATCGTTTAAAATATCAGTAAATGAATACTTTTTTCGTCGTTTCATATGACTTACCGTCATACCTAATGTGTTAGTTATTTGTTCTATTCACCTATTCATCTAATATCTATTCATCTTTTCATCTAATATACTTACTTATTTGAAACCGCTAATCTAAGTTTTATGAATAAATTTTAGGTCATCTGTATTACTGAGTTGTTATGTCGATGCGCAAAACATATCTTCCAAGGTTATCTGCAACCTGTGTCAGTAGCACATACAGCAGCGGCAGTATCCCATTTTTTGAATTGTCTTCTAAGTCCATCAACTGAACCTTTATCACCATCTAATGAAGAAGTAAGTTTTGTTCCTGCTTTTTAGTTTTTTTCAGCTTGTAAATGCAACGTTAAATTTTAGATATTTCATCCTTCATTCTGATTAGTCTTAATTCAGAGGTGCAAAATTAAGAGATCTGTCCATTTTAATGTACTTTCTAGCAATGAAATGTAAATGAATAAGCTACTCATCAAAAAATGATATTCTGAATGAAATTAAGTTCATGCGGTTATTTTCAGTTATTTATGCCAGCAAATGGTGTTAGAAAATCGCGATCATCGAAGCGTCGGAAACAGACTAACAGTGGTGGCAAAGAAAATGATGACTGGGCGCAAATGTCATCGCATAGTCTTTGGGAACGGGTCAAATCAAACGCTGATTTTTATTATGCGTTTACGGTTGATGAAGAAAATATTGATGCATATTTGTCCACAGTTGGAATTCAAAAAACTTCTTTTTTACGGCGTTTTGTACAAATAGTTGGAATTCAGGTATTATTTCGATGACGCATTTTGTCTTTAACAAAAACACGAAATTTTCACGTCGTGTTATATTTAACGAGAACACCAAGATTTAATAATTGAATTATGTGGAAAGATGGTTTAATAAATTGACATAAAAACATACGTTTTTGTGTCCAGAAAGTACAAATTAGCAAAGATAATTCTTGTGCATATCATTTATGATGGTCAAGAAATGATTCCTGCATATTACACAATCATTTTTTTTGTAAATTTCAGAAGTTAAAGTAATGTCTAAAGTAACCGCTTTAATCTATTTTATCCTTTAAAAAAACTATTGGAAAGGAAAAAGCAAATAAATGAATCGTAGATTCAAAAGGAAATTCATTTTTAAATTTTAGAAATTTTATTAAATGAAGACATGCTTACTTTCAGATGCTTTTGCGGGATTACAATTTAGAAACAGGAAAAAAATCTCAACTGTTCTTTGAAGATGATATTCAAGGTTTATATTGTCGAGCGAAACATGTTGATCCGAAAGCTATGGATGCCCATAGTTTGTTTCTTTCTGGACAAACTAAAGTACAGCAGGGTATGTTTTTCAACTTTGTTCTTTTTAATTATTATTTTAATAATTTGATCATTTGCTGAAGGTTATTTTACATCATTGTGAACCGAACTTGGAAATCACTTGAAGTTATAGTCAAATGAAGAGAAATGCAATGTATGAAAGTTATATAAATCAGATCAAATATTTCACATTTCAGTGTCTCCTACTGTTTCTTTTGTTCCTCTACACAGGCAGACTTAAACAATTCCGTGAAGTATACTTTAAAATTAAAAAGGATTTAGAATATGTATTCATTTCTTGCTGTGGAATAATTCTGATATTTTTGTATTTCTATGCAGTAGACGTAGATATAGTAGTATTTTTTCTGTTTTCAGGTCAGTTGCGTGCAGGATTTGATTTAGTATTGGAATCCCTTAACCTGATGAATAGTGTATATGGTGCGGTGCATTCCGATATGGCGCAGTGTATGCGTTTACTTGCCCGTCTTTCATATATTCTTGGAGATCCATCGGAGGCACTATCACAGCAGCACAAAGCAACGTTGATGAGTGAGCGTTGTAGTGGCTTGGATAGTTCTAATACCGTTATTGAATATGTCAGTTTTTTACATTATTTTTGCTAGTTAATGGAGAATTCAAGCTACCGCGTGATTCAAGTTACCATCATTTCGAGGATTGTTCATTTATTAATTTGGATTCTTGATTTGAAACGTAAAGGAAAACACCTCCCTGAATTTTTAAGTAAATATAACGTACATTTTGTTTATATTGCTTCGTTTCCAATAATCATTGATTTATTTGCTCTGTGCACAATCACACCGTGCACAATGGGACAACGCGTCCGTTTTATTTTTGAGGTTTCATACGCAAACTAATACTTGGAATGTTTTGACTTCGCACATTAGTATGAAGATTTTTGATTTAATTTATTTTAGACGTCTCGATTATATCTGCAAGTATAAATTAATTTATCGACGATGGATATTAAGTTGTTAATGTGCAGTGAAGATTTTGTAATTGTTAGATAATCGAAGCTAATTTAGATTTATAATTCAAATATATTCTGTTTCAGTTGAATCTCGCTCATTTTTCGTTTGCAAATCTTCATATTGCTGCTGCATTGAAATTACTTTATCGAGCTCGTTATCTATTATTGCTTATTCACGGTATAATTATTTGAAATTTCTTCCATCTTTGAAAGTGAATCTGATTTGGAGATGATAGAACAATTTAAAATTTTTTTTATAATGTATACTTTATAATTTTCTATTAATAAATTTGGTGGGCGTTCTTTTGAAATTTGCTGTTCTTAATAAATATTCAAAATTATTTTTTTGAAGGAGAAAATCATCCATTCATGGCCGAAATAGATGCTAATATTGGCGTTATATTGTATGCCGTGCAAGAATTCGATGATGCATTGAAATTTCTCCAAAATGCACTGAAATTACACCTAACCTACTTAGAACCCCAAGCTTTGAAAACAGCGCTTATATATCATTTGATGGCAAAGACTTATTCGTGCCGTGGGGATTTCCGCACTGCCCTACAGATGGAAAAGGTATCTCTGGTGCATAAAGAGGATTGATTAACTATTTAAACTTTTTCTTTCTCTTTCTCATAATTTGGAATTTTTTGCGGTTAGTTTCAGTTCACAGAGTTTTATTATCAGTCCCCGGAAAATCCTGGAAACAAGGTGGTAAAGAAGATAGATCTTAGAGGAATTTTAATGCTTGATTTTCAACTTTTTAGCCTAAGGGTCAATTTGATTTCTAATAAGAAAGATAAATTTTGATTTCAAAAAATTATGCATAATTAAAACTTTTTAGGAAACATTTACAATTTATTCAAAAACGTTTGGCAATGATCATGAAAAGACCAAAGAAAGCAGTGAGTGTTTGAAACATTTGACGCAACAAGCTGTTACTTTCCAAAAACGTATCAATGAAGCTAATCGGCAAGGTTCTAACAATATTGGACAGCTTCTCCCCGTTGAGGTATATGTTTGTTTAAAGGCTTTTTCATTTAAAATTTGATACATGAAATTTACTCGGTTACATTTAGAGGATTTTGAGAGGTAGAGGAATTGAGTTTTAAGGTAAAACAAGGTAGTTTATTGCCTATTGAATTCCTGAATAACAACTATTGGTCGGTGACATTTATTGTAATGGTAAACGTACAAATTCAAAGATAAAATTGGAAGAAAGGAAATTAAATAATTATTTTGTATCAGTTTCCTTTAATGACAGACTAAGTTGTTGGATAGTTTAAATCAAAATAATTAACTTTGGACTAAACTGGATCTCGCTCGTGCGCATAAGTAGGATTGGTTTAATTTGTTTAAAATTGAATTATGCTAAATTTTAACAGATATCTTGTTTTCAGATTCATCGTCCGTCATTGCACAGTGTACTAGAAGTATTAAATATATTGAATGGAATAATATTTATACAACTCAAAGGTGTTCCGACATTGGAAGTAAGTGAAAGGGATGATGAATTGGGAAATAACAATAATGATAAGACATTGGAAAATACGGCCAGTAATATGAAGAAGGATGAAAATAATGATGATACCGCGACAGTTTCGTCACGACTACAGTTGGATAATATTATGGCTATTATGAATGGTAGCGGTATTGCACAAGCCATGCAAGAAGTTGCCTTAGATTAAAAGATTTTAGGAAAGGAAAGTATTGTATCATTAGTTCACGCATTCTCAACCAATTTTTTTCTCGAAATATTATGAATGGTTTTTTCTTCCTTCTCCTGAAAAGAGTTTGATTGTGATGTAAAGAATTAGATATTAAAAAAGTTACAGTAATCGAAAATATTTCTCAAACTTTGAGCGTTGGAACATAAAGAGAGAAACTGTATGAAATTACGCACATTACAGGAATATATGGATTTAAGATTTTTGCGGATTTCTTTTATAATAATAGACTTTGGATTATAGTAAAATATAGTGAGTATTTCATTTTATGATAATAGAGTTTCATAATGTTTTATGATGATAGAGTTATAGTGAAATATTTTCATTAGTTGTGTTGTACCATTCGGATCAAATACTGCTCATTGTGTTTCCGAAGTGTTCTTATCATTAGTAACTTTTTCGTTGAATTTTTTTGTAATAGGAGTATTCATCCTCGATGCTCATTCAATTTTGTTATCTTTTTCATTTTATATCGGTTCATTTTACAGTATTTTTATGTTTTGCAAGTAGAAATTTTGAATGATAATGAAACGATGCACATGTTTTTACTGTTGCTAAAGGACGAATTTTAGTTTGAATTGAAAATTTTGGGAGACTTTGTTTCTTGAAAATTTCAACAATTCCTATATTGTTTGACTCACATCAAAATCCATATAAGTTTTGCTTTTCTCCAATAATTTGGCTGAAGAGAACTATTGGATTCGTGTTGCAAATTCCATCATTGATAGTGTTGCAGTATACGAAATTTATCGTAAATTTCAATCTCTTTAATGTTACTTCACAGAAAGGGAAGAAAGAGGCAGTAACTCAGATCTGAATAAGAAATAAATTTATTTATAACAGGAATGTGATGGAATGTAATTGGTAAAAAAATATGATTCTAATTTAAAAGTTTGTCTTTTTTCATAGAACTCAAAAGTTTGCTTACCTTCTCGCTCAATTTAAACTTTTCTTATCTGTTCACTTAACACAGTGTCCATTTATTAACACAACGTTTATTTAGTGTGCATTTTATTATTAAACGTAGTTAATTTGAATGTTATATATCTTTTAGTTTTATGAATAGATTTCTTTTATGCACCTTTCCCGATATGTAATAGCAGCTCCGTGTGGTGTGATAGTGACATTATTATTCGAATGCATATTGTCGTGAATTATTATTTCTTATTATTATCCATTAATTGAAAGTATCAGGAAGCATCGACCTGGAGAAGAATGCTTCTATTGCTTATCATTCTATAATCATGCATTCAAAGAGTTGATGCATTCCTGATCGGAAATATATTTTTGTATCATTTCATTTTTTTAAATTCTAACCTCAAAGTTTATTATGTTACCACTTATAATATTACAGCTGCTATTAATAGCAAATTCAAATAGTACATCAGAACAAGTTATGATTGGTTAATTATTTGAATCCAGATAAATCAAAAAAGGGAAGATTATTGTGAAGGACCTAATCTGGATAATTCACGATTTTTCTTTCAAAAAAATGGAGATAGAAGAATAAAGCATCAACTTGCAGCATCAAATATCTTGGAAACTTCTGATCTATGATTGCAATTATTCATCTTGGGAAGAAATAGCACTGATAATACTTTTCTTAGCATTTAATTGTGAACCGTTTTTTGTCATTTCTTCGTATTTTGTTAGTTTTCTTGTTTTTATAATCGCTTAAATTTGAAATTGACGGGTTTAACTTTTCAATTTTTCCCTGCGTTTGTGCTTGTTAAATTTCCTTTTTTTTCACCCTTTATGACCTCATTATCAAAGTTTTCTTCAGGATCATATGTGCACGTATATATATGTACGTATGAGTATGTCATACGTATGTATACCTTGAATGCATGTGGAAAGGATTCCATATACATATATACATATATATATATATATGGATGTCCAGCTAAGGATAAACTAGTTGCATGTGAATGGATGTCCAGCTAAGGATAAACTGGTTGCACGTGAACCTATCCTTTATCCTTTTTCTGAATTATCCTTTCAAGCAATTAAATTTAGTAAAATACGAGATTTCTTCCCATGGTAATCTACCAAATAAATTGGATTAAACAAATGTATCGTCGTCGTAATCAAAACAATCCAAGACAATCATTAATCATATCTAATTACTAATCACAGACATTCTCAGTATGTTTAGTTTCGGTTACTCTGATCATTTTATGAATTGTGAATTACATTGTATGTATACCAATTTTCAATCTGAATACAATCAAGTTCTTTTCTGGAACCATAGAAAGACTGTAGAAAATATATGAATTGACCATTACGCATTAGAAATAGGAAATCGTTGGAAATGATTTTAACAAAACATTCGAAAAATTTATTTCCTCAGAAAGAGAAATGTAAAAATAATTAATTCTTTATTCTGTTTTTAAATATTATCTTTATTAATAAAAATGTAAACTAATAAGAGTTTTAAACTATTCTTCACCAATAATTCAAATTATCAAACATTGCAAATCCTTTTCACAAACGATTTGAATGCTAGTTAGAAGCAAATAAAACAAACATAAATTTATAGCCTTTTTCACGAATAAGAGTGGGTGAAAATTGTTAAGATACCTATGTCGAGTGATGTTGCCATTGTTATCAGTCGCTTGAAACAAGTACGTGAAAAAGGCTATTTTTTCCATACTTCTTGCAATTTGTTGAGAATTAAAATTCAAAAACTAGCATGGAATATCCTGAGCAGGAGTGACAACAGTGTATTAATAATTAAAAGAGAATAAGAATATGAATTATTTGACTAAATGAAATGGTTTGGCTACGATTTCGGAAGGACGATTAAATTATTTTCTATGAAACAAAGAAAAAGTCTAAAATAATCTTTGAAAGACTGAGATCAGAAACTACCATAGCTTCAATTCAAGAGAGATAATGAAAGGAGTTAGTGAACTTTAGGATTCTGTTAGTATTTCTTCGACTAAGACTTTTACAATAAATTTTGCAAGTCCTCCCGAATAAAGAATTGAAAATATATATGAGAAGTGCGACTACCCTCTAGACAGAATAGAATTGTAAGATCTCTTGATTAAACAAATGGATTTGGAGGAGATAATTTTTGAACTCCAATAATATCTAAATTTCATTATCACTTATTGCTTTTTCCTTACTGTACCTTTTTCAATTTTTGTCTTTTTCTGGTTGCATCAACATAATCATCATTAGGTGATAGACTACGTTGCGGCAATGATATATTCGATAGTCGAAGAAATATTTCTTCCACAAAAGAAATGGCCTGAAATTTGGGATAAGTGAGTGCAGTTTCTATAAATAAAACACAGTAAATTCAATTCCATTGGGAAATAAAAGCATTTAGATATGCTACTAAAAATCCGTAGAAAAACATACAACTAGGAATGATGCGTGAATGCCCATAAGCAGACACATAAAATACTGGCACATGAATCAAAATCAGGAGTCGTAAAATAGTAAAAAAACGTTCTTAACTTCTAGCCAGAAGTCATATCTAATAAATTGTTCCGAAGGTTTTTTATATAATGTTTCCCACTTCATTTCACATATCTACGTGTAATAAATAATAAAAAAGGAAGTAAAACCTTTTGATGATTGAAAAATAGATATGCAATAAAGAAGAAAAATGGAAGTGCAAAATAGCTGCCACTAGATATTTCCACTTCAGACTTCCGCTGAAAATTTGATTAACTAGCTTGTAAAGAAATCACCGAGATGGGTAATCACCGAGACATGTGGAAAGCAAGATTTTTTGAAAGGCAGTATTAATTAGTATACATTCACCATCACTACCATGCGAGAACTTCCCGAAAATCGCATTGTAAAATAAGACATATGGGAAAAGATTAAAATATCCAAAATTTCTCATTAAACAATCATAAAGTGTGATGAATAACAACTAAAAAAAGTGTTTCAGTCTTGATACGATCCAGCCATGCTATGGGTCAGTGGGAGACAAGTTAGTGGATTACATCCGATCAGTGACAAAATGGATGTTTTTCATTGCTAAGTAACAAATATCTTTTAGAAATCAAAAAAAAAAAGTACAAGAAATAATCCAAAAAAAAGGAAAAAATAATTTGTCGGAAGGAACGGCCGCAACTAACCTGTGGACGTACACTTAACGATACGGCTTTAAATGTTTCATTTGCAGTGAATAAAACTTCGGCAGAATTTAACTTCTGATTACCTGTACCATAAATCGTCTCAAATCGAACCGAATATACCTTGAAAAAAAATTACGACAAATGAGTTCGAGCAAGGAAAAAAACTTCCACTGCGTGCGGAATTTCATTTAATCTAACAAGTAAAGTATATTCACGTTGCTAAAATGCCTATAAATCTGTCTGGTTAAGAGCTGCAAAACTTTTTTACTAATGTACAATTAATGTCTACCGACAAACGCTATAATCGCACAATAACAACATTAATTGGTAACAATTCCTACAGAAATAAAACAAAACAAAAATCAACAATCCAAGAGAACACAACTTACGGCATTATCCACTGTAGGAATTTCGAAATAAAATACAGTAGATGGAGCCACAACAGTTGTCTGCTGAACCAAATTACCACTTTTGTAAAGACCAATTTTATACTGCGGTGGTGAATTAATATCAATAAATACAACATCACCGGCAACATCTACCCGTTCGTCGATATGTGTCAACACGAAATCAATGCCGTTGACATCTTCAACATTTACCTAAACATGAAAGCATCATGTAAATGGATACTGTTTGTTTGATTATTCGAATAACAATAAGGCTTCAAAACAATGCAAGTTTAGAACAATGTAAACGAAGACACTACTCGACGTCTATCCACCAATATTCACTCAACATCTGCAGGATGAAATGTACAAGTGAAAAAGTCGTCTTGCAACATATAACAACATATTCAAATCGCAGAATTGAAAAATTCTTAATCATAAAGTAGTTCTTGATGCTGGAATATTGGATCAATACTTTTTTCCCACTTTTGTTTAGCCTCGCCTCCTAATTAATTATTTGAAAACGTACCATGATATCATAATGTGTTGGAAATGACTGTAATCGTTGACCCTTCGGTGTTTTCAGTACCAACCGATAGACACATTTAGGATGAAGGCCACGAATTCGATATTTACCATTTTCATTCGTTGTATCCTCTTCTTGCAACTGATTACATTGTTCCGACACTGCTTCGACAGTCACTGCTTGTACTGGTTGACCAGCTGGATATGAAACTTTGCCAAAAACACTGAAAGTTTTTTTCTTTCAAAAAGTATTTAACAAAGAAATATAATGTAGTAGGTAAGAGATATCAAATATATCATGATTAAGTTAACACATCGAAACATGAAATAAACAAAGTCCTGGAAATTCACAAAGATGCTAAATGACACAAAAAAAAATGAACTATACCAGAAGAATAATCTGGAAAACGATGGATAAAAAAGTAATAAACCAAATCAACATTACTAAACTAATATTTTACTATAAATGTTTGCACAAATTAGAAAATTCAGCATTTACCTATATGCAAATCGATGACCTTTCAAGTTTATCGTTTCAAATTCACCCTCTTCGATATTTACTGTGATTGATTTTGGATCAAATTTATACTCCTGTAGTATGGGACGTAAAAAATATTCCCCAGGTCGCTGAAAATAAATTTTGGACAACTGAGTGATATAAACTACGAAAAGTTGTGCAGTGCTTCTATGTAATTTGCTATAAATTCAATTTCAAGTCCTTAATTAATGCTACAGCAATAAAAAATTTGCTTTTGCTTTTGCAATAAAAAATTAAACAGTGGTGTTAAACATCTAACTGGTAAAAAAAATTAATCGAGGACAAACATGCTCAAAATAACACAATGACATTTAAAACATATAATGTCTCAATGGCACTGTGAGTGGCCTTGAATATTTGAAATTACAACTTACGTGTTACTATTATTTCTCATAAACATCGATATTTGAAATAGGACTAAGACTTAAAAAAACTCACCAAGCCAATGAAGACGATTTTTCCGGTTTCATCGATGAAGTTGTTTGACCGATAATTCTCAGCACCGCTCAAAGAAATAAGTACACTAGAAAGTGGTTCACCCGTTTCAGCATCAGTAGCAATAATGATCAGCTGCGATAGTTTTATGGCATTCAATATTCCGGGTTTCCTTGTTTTTTCAAATTTATATCCACTTTTCTCAGCAATTATGTCCAAATCTTCAATACTTCGCACTGGACCCATCCTGAAAACCACAAATTTCAAATTTAAAGGTATTTTATGCAGTTGGAAAAGTTATGTTGTGCTACAAACACAACTGCAATAGATAAATTTTCGAATCAATCTATCAATTAAGACCCGCACCAACCATCAAGCAATTAGTTAACCATTAACAAACGGCACGGAATTTATGCAAGCTAATCAAGACCAAAATCCTGCACTAACACAGTTACCTAAATTTGCCGTCAGCGTCGGTCACTGATTCAAGAATAACGTTTGGATCATCTTTCTGTGGCGAACGAATATTCACGTCCTTAACAGCTGGAACCACTTGGCCTTCCAAAAAGATGCCTTTATTAGCTTTGAAAGTTATTTCATCCAAATGACATTCAGCTGAAAGTGACAAGAAACATTTTCGCCTTGAAAAGCACTCATCAACTTTTTATAATGCAAGTATGAAAATGTAAAAATATGTGGTAAACGTCACTATAGATGTAGAAAGTAGAATGGCATTAAAAAACTTACCACTGAACTTGAAAACATGAGAAATTGGACTGAAAAGGTAAGTTTTCGATTTGGGTGTAAGTGTGACAAGTGCATCAGCATCCAACGCTGACAAATAAAATGTGAAACCCAATCTTTTTTCTGCTGAAGAAGTTGCCTAAATAACTTGATTTTAAAGTAAAACTTTCCAAACAAACAATAAGAGTTTGAATGATTAAGAAAAAATACATATATGAACGCCAATCATCTCCACAACGCCATGTCGGATTAAAAATTTCCCACGATCTTCTTTATATGTTTAGAACTCCTATTATACAAAACACAACTGTACAATATATTTTCACATGTCTTTGTATCCAATTATGCGATAATACAAGTTGACAAAGTGATGAAGTTTAAGTTGATGAAGTAGTCCATCTCACAAGTAGAAGGATTCTTATGATCTAGAACGTCAGATGTTGCATTGAACTCACTACTAATTGGATCAGTTGATCAATTGTATTATTGCAAGTCATTGAAATGAAAGCAAAAAATTTAAAAATAAGTAAAGATACCGGGAAGATTTGCTCGTCAGTACTAGATTTGACAGATAAGATAAAATCATCAAGTTGATTCACTGTGTGATCCAATTCGATCGATGCAGACATCAGAAATTTTGAAGCAGATGCAACAAGTGGGACTTCCTGCGGGATAGTAATTTCATATGACTGTTTGTCGAATTTATGACAAGCTTCAAATGTTACAGTATAAATGCCGGTTAAAGGGATGCAGAAAGAAAATTGCTCAGCTGGTATATAAAGCGAACCACTGATTTGAGGTTTTTCCAACATGCTCCATTTCTAAAATGCTAACGAAACAATTTTCGGAATATCATCTTTCTCTACATAATATTGATTACTTCTGTTTAGTTAATTCCGAACAAAGATTCAAAATGTTAAATATTTCCAATCATATAATCTAAACCGCTTTAGCCGGATGAGACAATTGGGTTGTCGTTCGATATCCTATTTGACGAAATATGAGGCTATCTAAGTCAGCATGTTCAATAACAATATCCATTTCTGTTTTTTCCCAACAAAATCGACCGTTATCTATCATTTTCACTGCAAAAACGATTTGAATCATTTCCAGTATAAAGCATATATCAACTAAGAAATTTTTTTAAAAATCGGGATAACTATCAAAAAATAAAGAGTTTCTCTGTTTATTGTAATGAAAATAAACTTACATTTATAAGAATCTGGTGCTACTTGATGAAAAATAAACTGATCAAAGCCTTCAAGGCTTTCTATTAACGTTTCTTCTCTCCATAGTTCTACCTTCAAAGCATCACAACCATCTGTAACGTAAGATTGCAAATAATATATCAAATGCTACAATAAATATCATAAATTTATCAATCGAAAACTCACCATAATGTCGTTTTCAATTAGCTACAAGAATTTTCAGTAACTAAAAAATATGCCTTCAGCGAGGAGTGGTATCATAAAATTAATGCCCCACTGTTTATATAAAAAAAAAAAGACTTTTCATCAAGGATTAATTTAAATTTCAAAACTCAGAAAAATATCGATATTCTGAAATAAAATGTTTTGAAAAAATTTTCAAAAAATGCGAACCTATACAGATGACACTAACATTGACATCAGCTTTGAATTGGCTAAATACAACATCAAGTACAGGACCCTTCGATAAATCAATTTCGCGCTGCTTTGGAGTCATCACTATACCATTTGGTGATGAAACCTAAAATAAAATATTAAAAGAAAAACTGTCAATCATTATATGCATAGTAATCCCTTCACAGTTTATATGATAGACAAGAATAAGACCTTTGAAATCGTAATAGATATATTTGCTTAGTCTCTTCACTTATTAATTACAAGGCTTGCCTAAACGTCGAATGAATTAAAAGATATTGCTTGGATAGTCCAGCATCATAAAGATCCTCTAGGAAATCAAGACATGAGATTAAGACATTTTTTTCGATGGGCTGTTGTGATTATTGTAATAACGAATGAACACATACTTTAAGTAATATTAAACCTTCACATTCTAAACTCAAAAGAAACACTCCATAACAATGCATTTAAAATTTAAAAATTTAAAAAAAACGAGCAAAAGTTGAAACTGCACCGAAACGACATATTTGCCAACTGCTTGCAAACTGCATATCTCTCCATCACTCTTTGTACGCAATAATTTCACGGCTTTTGTTTGCTGATTTGTAAAAATGATCGACATTATACGATTAATACTTTCTTCCGCATTAACCATAACACAGACGTCTACACTGGAAAGATAAAATTAACAATTATTATCCAAACATAAAATATTCAACATCTGATGTCATGTCATACCAGAGCTATAATTTCTAAAGCGAAAATGCAAAATCTTTTATTTGGTTCATTGATTCATCGTGCTACATAATGAACATTACATGTTGATACGTGGCTGTTCGGTTAGTATACATAAGTTAGGGTAAAATATCTCTTCATTTTTTACTTGAAGAATGATGAACAGTATGAAAAGTACAAAATCGTTGAATAATTCCATTCAATTCAAATAAGTTCATGAAATATTCCTAAAAATAAGCATGGCTTACCTTTCGACGATGATATCCGGAATTTCAGCTTTCTTTGCGGTTAACTTGATGCTTACTGTATTGAAGGCAAAATGATTCTTTTTAGCAGTTATTGTGTAGCTTTCATCTTGTAAGCCGTCAAGTATATACCTAGATACATGAAAGAATAACAAAACAAATATGTTTTGCAAACTCATGAAAATGACACATTAAAAAAGCAGTAGAAAAGACATGTAAAAAATTTTATTTCATAGTGTTGCTCGTGTTATTTCTTTGGGAATTTTTTTCCTTTTCGCTTCAAATAACAAATCTTCGACTAAAAGACAGTGTATAGTAATTTGATGATTTTTATTATTCCAGCCTAAATTACTGGTAAACTAGAAGTTACCATCCGTTTGCATCGGTTTTCCCTTTCTTTTCACCATTTACATAAATAACTGCATCGACAACCGGCTGTCCAGATAAGAGCACTTGACCTTTGCTGCTAAATCCAAGTGTGTTGAAGCTAACCTTCAAGATTATTGCAATTAATAAGCTAACTGAAAATAAGAGTTAATTTGATATTAAGATCAACAGGACTTTAAGTACATGGACATATGTAATGCATCTCTCCATGGTGGAGAAATTGAATGTTGGAAACGCCAACTATCAGCATTATAAAGTATGTCTATGGTACTCGATCTCGTGTTGTGAATGATATAATATAAATATACAGAACTGGATTTTGATCCTGAAGAAATATACACCGAAATGATGGAATAATTCTAGTTTTTAACATAATATAAAAAAACTACAAACGCATACCAACATAATTCATAAAACTAAATTATGACTTATAAAATTAAAAAATTAGACCTTCTCCGCAGATGATCCCATCGTGATTTCTTTCAATTCCGGTGAAAAACTGAAACGAATTTTGTCGGTGGAAAGAGATGGCTGGATGGTATACAGTCCTGGAGGAAGACACGGAAACTGGGCTATACCTTTGTTATCAGTCTTCATTTTGCAAACAAGCCTTCGATTTAATTCTCTTTCTTTTTCCGTATCAGCCAATCTTTCGCCACAGTATGGCAACTATAAAAGAATAACAAAAAGAGTCAAAAGGTCCTCATTTCGAAACATGACCTATATTAATTATCATTATTAATTTATACAAAACATCGCCTCTTACCAAATATGATTTAATAAAAGTAGTAAATGACATGTGTTGAAAAAATACTAAATACAATAATACATGTTATACATTGCATATACTGCAAGAAAAATAGTTGCTAAATTATGCCACTGAACAGATTACAGACAGCTCAGAGTTCGCGATAAATATGCTTTTACAGAGACGAATTTCCAAAAAGTTTTAATACCAGGAGATGCCCTGAAGCACTAAGAATGATTTTGTAGCTACAGCAATGTTAGAAAATCTTTGTAACTTGCCTTTACAAAAATTTTCGAATAAAGTGATACAGAAACTCCAGCTACTTGATGCTTTTTGGATAAAACAGAAACTGTCAATAAGTGTCCGGATATTTTCAAATCCGGTGATACACGAACCGGTGATGTCGTAATTGATACCGGCACTTTATCGCGCTCGATGCATTCTGTACTATTACCTGCGGTTGATACCTTCAGAGAAAAGATGAAAAACAATTAGTAATAAGTCGAAGTGGCGAATAAAATGTTAATCATTTATTGAAATTTCAAAAGAAAAAAACTGAAATTTCTTTATTATAATTTATAACACTTTGGTTTTATTAAATGTGATCACGTCAAACAAACTATTCCAAAAATCTGTCTATCTGAATCACATTTATATCATGTTGAGAAGAAATGACCCACTAAATATTTTCCAGGTGATGCTTGAAATCTATATGCACCATTTGCAACCGTTTTTGCCTCCGATACAATGGTGCCATTTTCGGCAATAAGAATCAATGTAACATCTGCAAGTCCACTGTCATCACCACTTCGCAGTATACCTTCCACAGCGAAAGCGTTCAAAACAAAATTTATATCTTCACCTTTGGTGCATAAATCATTCTTTCCATCTACTTTCAAATCAAAAGTACTTGGCTCTGAAATAAAATTTCACAAACTTTTCTTGAGAAAGAGACAAAAAAGAAAGAGTGAAGACAACGAAGGAAAGACAGAAAAAAAGAGAACGATATAAGTAATCAAAAGTAACAATGGTGTTGAAAAGAGCATTTACCAAAGAACCACCCATCCGGCGCGAAAAGACGTATGGAATAATCGCCCTTGTTGTATACCGGAATCATATAATATCCGTTCGTCGGACTGCATTCTGTTTCAAATTTCAAATTTCCTTCAGCAGTAAATAGTTTAACCTATGAATAGATAAATCAAATAGTTAAAGAAAACCGTTCGTAAAAAGATATGTAAACACATCCAACTAATTAAATTAGCTATACTCTTTATAAAAAATATCATTCTCACTTGGTTGACTTTTCAGAAATTCTTGGTCTTTCACAAAATAAATCATTGGAACGTCAAACTACAGCACAAGATACTAACTTAAATCTAACTCAGACAAACTCAAAACCAAAGTACCATCGTTTCCTAAATCACTCCTAATAATTGTTTCTGCTATGTGATAATAAATCCTCAAACCTGTATTTTCGAATAATCGATTGAGACATCTGGTGATTTGACAAAACCTCCACAACTGTAAACCTCAGCTGTTACTGTTGAAATGCACATCAAAACAAGTGCAACCCATTCAAATGCATCCGTACAACCCATATCTTAAATGCATTAAAAGTTGAGTTAGAAATTTTCTTAACCATATGCTTTTTTTTCCATTTAAATCGTAAAAACGGGTAGCAGTAATTATTAGTCACCATCGTAATAAGTAGTAGCAGCAGTAAAAACTTTGAAATTAAGTGACGAAAAACTTGATTTATTTTATAACAAATAAAGTGAAACAGGGACATCAACGACAATAAGACTCTAATATTACGTCTGAACAATAGCCAAAGTCGCAGTATTAAATCTATGAAAAACATCCTGGAAATTTAAAAATAAAAAATAATTAAAAATAATAAATAAAAAAGAAGTCATGAGTAAAACATACGCATCATTGATAACTTAATTCCTGACAAAATAAATTTTGAACATCTAACAACAGTTACAAATCAAATGAAATGTTATATGTCCAGAATTGTTACATGAAATAAAACCGAGACACAATGGAATAAATTAGAGCCGAATACTTTTAATTGATGTCTAAACTCTGTTAATGTCATTAAGCGATCTTATAACAACTAATCCGACCGATATAGCCATCATCGAATCGTAGCAACATCAATGGTTTGAAAGTGTCGAAGTATTTCTCGAGACACGTGCTTTAGAAAAATTTAGCTCAAAGAATCATTATTACAATTACAACGGTTGACTTTCAAATTACCAATGGCTACCGATGTCACTAGAAGATTAGAGAGCCTCTCTCAATGACTTCTCTTAGGTATGACCTCTTTAGGAAATCCTACACTTAAAACTCGTGAGAATAAAAATCTGATTGCATTAATAAAACAATTTCCACCGCATCAGTCATTAACATCAGTAAAACACCTTGAACTAATCTATTACATATGATTAAACTTAATAAAATTTACACAATTTTGGCACGTTTACTTAACAGCTTCATTCTTTTCTTTACAATGATATTAGCACCATTCAAATATCAACCCTTGTGTTTGGTTCAAATAATGGTTTACAGAACTTGCATGATAACATGAAATTTTCATATCGTTCGATTTGTATTGTAGCAAGATGTATACCATGTTTGAAGCGTATAATTCTACTAGCTATTTGCATTGTTTCTGTTGCTTTCTCTGGTTCATCTGAAATAAAAATGAAAAAAATATAATTTAGTTATGAATTCCAAAACTATGAATCATTACGATGTAGATGCCATTAATTATCCGACCATTCCCTTTTGATCATGTTATCCGGAAGGTTTTGATTTTCTTTATGAATTTCAGGTAGAATCACACATTTGCTTTTACAATTCCCAGAAATAAAGAATATTAGTTTTTTAATGATATTATCTTCTGAATCTTTCAGAATCCGAGCATATTTTCCGTGCTAGATCTAATGATGGCGCTATTATGCAATATAATACAGGAATACTCAAACATTCAGAGAAAAGTAAAAAATATTGATATGTTTACACTATCAAGCATTAATTCCAAAAAACAGATTAATTTTGTATACCTTATGTCTTTATAAATACAAACATACCAATGGCCAAATGAACTGCTAAAGCTGTTTTGTCCATATTCAATGACCACACATGTAAGCTATGCAACGTTCGTACACCATTTATGCCCATCAAATCATTTTGTAAGTTACCGTAATTGATATGTGCGGGTGTTCCTGAAAAATTAATAACCCTTCACAATTCCTACCTTCGCAAATTTGATTACGCAAAATAAATCTAACAAAAGACGAATAATTTGAAAATAGAGCAATTTTAACAACAGACCGAAGAGGAAAACTTAATTTGTTTAAAAACAATTTTTATTTATGGAAATAAGGACATATGGTATACAAAATTAATCTACAGAAAACCTAAAATTTCATCAATACCTTCCATTAATATGAAGAAAATATCCCGAATTACAGTAACACTAGTGATAAATACGACAATGGAAAAGAGGAAAGTACATAATGGATCAGCTAATTTCCAATCTGTTACCTGTAATAAACAAATAAAACTGTAGGGAAATGCAAAGAAAATAAACAAAAATCTTTTTTCCTCAATCAAAAAAGATATCCATGATGGAAAATACAATGCTGGTAACAGCATCATATCATCTTACCTTAATCACAATAGCAGCAGTTAGGACGCCGATACTCTGTATAAAATCGCCAAGTACGTGGATAAAAGCTGCCCGTACATTCACATTAGCACTGAATTATTAATTGATAGGTTAGAAAATATGTCTTTTTCATCACAGTTGAATTCTTATTAGTATTATATATTTATAAAATTTACTATTTAAAATACAATTTCGTGTTAACCAAGTAAAATTTCTATAAAAACCAAGTACCTACTGTGACTATGACCCATATCTTGTGAATGAGCACAACCAAAATATCGCAAAACGAATCCCATGATAATATTAAAGAATACACCTGCACTTGCCGTTACAATCATTGTATTTGCATCAACCTGAAGTTGTCATATCAAATAAAATCTTTGAATTCCATTAAAAAATTATGCAATTGAAAAATTGTTCAAATTTCGTTAAAATTATAAAGAAAGTTGTTTTCAACAACTCACGATTTTCTAACTAATATTATTTTCACATGGCCAAATTAAAATTCTTTCAGAAACACTCTTGAATTTGAACTTTTACAGTAACGTAAAACGGTTCAAATTTCGATACTACTTTCTAATGTTGACTACAACGGAAAACTCTGGTAGTAAACAAAATATATTCTTCAAAAAGTGCTACAGCATTAAGATCATATTGATTTACACAATTTGTTTTCGAAGCGCTGTTTCGATTTTACACTCTACTTTTCATTCAGAAATTTCATTCACAAACCTTTTCGATGATTGTACTATATCAAATTCTATAAGAAAAGCTCACGCTACTAGAAAGAATCTTTCTCATTAAAAATCATACATCGATTATAGTAGACGGTCTGTTTTCGAAAGAATTCCAAGTTTCTCAGTAACCTTTCAACCAGTTATTTTAAATACTTTTGGCTGCATTTTCAATAGATTAACCTTAAATTTCATTACCAGATTTAAGAATGTTTAATTATTGTTAAAACTTCAAATACGTAAGCAGTTATCCAACTAGCATCCAAATCTTAATCGCCTGAACAATATGTTTTTATAATTACTAAATTATAAAGAAAAAAGAAAAGAAATGACGTTAGCATAGTGCAATAAACAAACAAACATCGAAATTATTATTTATAATTCGCTGTAAAGCAAGCATTACAAGCATCGTCGTAAGAATCCATATAATTATAATCGATATCGTAGCACCCAAAATTTCTGCACGAAGAAAACCAAACGATAATCGGTGATTTGCTAGAATGATCACTGTAGTTTGAAAGGTCAATGCGAGAATAATTAGTATTTTCTATCGTTGTGATCAGTATTCAACGTATGAAATTCGCGTATATCCAGACCTATATCAAAATCGTTCATTCCAAATTCAATTTTGGTTTCTCTTTCTTTCAGTTATAATATCGAGATTCTTTTTATGTTTTCAGAAGTTCATTAATTCAACAGAATATGCGTCGATAATGAAATGATGCCAAATAGCGGAACATCTGTATGATGCTCTTTGCATTATATTATGTTGATCAATTTAGCAAAAGATATAATCTAATTATCTATATACTGTCTGATACTCAGTACGTACTCATACATTTATCGGAAAACGCTAAATTAAGAGAGAGTGGAAAAGAAGGCAAGTTATTTTTATTAATAAAAACATTATAACTACTTTAAAACCGGAGCATAAAATTTGCCATTATTTCCACAGAAAAATAATGAAATGAAAACAAACCAGGAGAGCGTGCAAGTCGAATTGCTATGATAGATATAATAAAGGAGAGTAAATCACTAAGCATATGTCCAGCATCGGTCATTATTGCTAAACTACGGGCCAAAACGCCACCACTGAATTCAGCAATAATAAAAACAGCACTTAAAATTGCTACCACCATTAATGATCGTTCAGCTTTCCGATCCTGAAAATATATAAAATCTAGTACGCAAATAATTTTTCGTAAATTTTGGATGCCTAGACATTATTCTCATCTTTTTAAATATAAAAATAATATTTAGGCAATGAAGTATGATTAATACAACTAATAAAATGATATGACTATAAGACTAACAGAATGAACCAATCATCATTTGGAATACGAATAGAATTAACAGAATAACATGATCGTTATGACACGATCAATAAAATTAACGAAATTATATAATCATCAAGTCATATATTACATGATCATCACATGATCAAGTACGATTAATGTAAAATATGATCAGTTCAATATCTCTATATTCCCACTGCCTTTAAAATACAATAATTTGAAATTTCTAGGTTTTTAAAAACAAAAGCTTTAAATCATTACATGATACCAAAAACAGGTAAGATAATAATAAAAAAATATATACCTCTTTTTGCGATAGCAATAAAAAATGACAATGTTCTTGTAGATAAGAATGATCAATTGATTCATGTTCGTCTTCATAACTATCCTGATCATGATAAAATGCATTTCGGTCATCGTTGTCATTGGAAATATTATTATTTGTTCTTCCCCATAATGTTCGCAACATTTTCTAACAAACAAATCGGTTTAAACGTAATTCCAATAATAGATAAAAAAGCATAGACAAGTTATGCTACTAAGTCTTAACAAATTCATCCGAAAAATTCCGGTAGAAAATAGAAAACAACCGCTTCTAGAATTACTCCCAATTAATAGATAGCATGATTTTCTATAATATTAACACAGCCCTATCATGAAAATCGTTATCCAAAATTGACAACAATATTTGTTGCAAATGTAATTCGCACTATGACTGAAAACATATTCATTAATAAGTGATGATTCTTGAGCAGAGCATTAATATGTTAAAAATTTCTTTTTTGATTCTTACTCTTTTACTATTCATTTCGATTAAATTAAATTTCACTTATAGCATTGGCTGTAATTTCACTGTACAATGTTTCCTAATGTCTGAAAAGTTAAATTTTGAATTTGAAAAAAACGAAAAAATGCACCACAAATAAATGTTAGAAAAAGAATGATGAAAAGTTATTTCATTATTTCATAGCACACAGTTTTGATGCTTTGTACCAAAATTGAAATAACTTTTCTTCCTTCTTTTCATATCATAAATTTTCGTATTATTATTAATACACTTACACGATTATTAATATACACTTTTAAATTTTGATTAAATTAAATTTCTCATTTTGCAAAAAATATTGCTACTAATTAAGTTTCTAATTAATAAATTGAAAAGAGAAAGAAAGTATGATGAAAAAATGTCAGATTAATAATTAATTATAGAGAAATGAATGAGAAATCATTAACCTAAAAATGCAAACTTCGTTCATCTATTTTTCGCCACTCTTTTTAATTTAATTTTTGGAAATTATATTAGAAACGAATTGCCTACGATCAATACTTCTATTGATGCTCGAAATCAAATACAATCGACAGCAGTGAGCTTATCATCCATTTCTATTATCGATCGATAGCATCGTAATATTCAAGAAAGGTATGAAAGATTAAAATTTTTTCAAAATGATTTTTTGAAGAAATAATTGTTAAAATTTGAATTATCATCATGTAATTAATAATTAAATGAAAATTGACAGTTATGAGAACTGATAGCAATAACAAATGATATGATAATATAACTTGAACAGCTAATAATTAATCATAATTAATAGTAACAGCAATGATAAGTAGTAGCAGCTATTATTGACAAATTAATAAAAATTAATTGATTGATAATTCTCAATAATCATTATTAACAATATGTATTTTATATTTAACTAAATAATTTAATACATTTATAAATTTTATTGCTTATCAATATTTCTTTTTATTATTATTTGCAACGATATTATCTACCCCTTTGTCTTCAAATATTCATTGATCTACTATTAATTAACTAATCAATTAATTAATTCATTTTCTTTCGTTCTTCCCACTTTTTGACTATAAAATTTACACAACATAATTAATCAAATGATTGTTTGTTTGTAATTTTACGAGACTAAAAAGAAATCGAACTAGAAATAATCGTCAACAACTGTTCATTCATCACTTTAAAGTGCTGCAACCTTTTTTAACAATTACAACCGTAATTCCATTCTTCGTTTATGTTTATAATAAAATTTCAAATTATGCTTTAAGACAATTCACAAAATTTGCAGCATGTGCAAAATGTTAATTAGTAAATTATCAACGTTACCTTTCTTCCTTATCTAATATATTCGCAATTAATCATTATCCATTCTTTCTTTTCAAATTCTTTCCTGCTTATTTGTTTATATCATTCAAATAATTTTATATTATTCATTTCGTTGCAACTATTTCCTAAATGAATATGACAATAAATATTTTTGTAATTAACATATTTCTGCTAACAAATTATTATTTCAATATTTGTTTACAAGAAAGATTAAGTAAACAAACAAAAATAGGTTATTATTTACTAATCGATTATTATTTTATTTAATATGCTTAGAATTTTCTTGATATATTTAAGTAAATAAAAAACGAAACTATAATATTTAAGGAAGACAAATGTCTAGTAAATATGTTATAGTAAATAATGATATAATGCAGGAGTAAACAACAATTAACGATTAAGTGGCATATACTTACATTATACGTAAATGTTGTTGCGAAATGGTGTTAATAGCTTTAATTATAATTGGTGTTACAATTATACCGATACAAGGCAAGTTAATTTTGATAAGCATAAATTAATAAAATATCAGAAGGAGTTAATCAGAAGGAAAAGCGAAATAATATGTTAAATTCAAAATTGTAACATATTTATTTATCATAATGCTGGTAGTATCAAATGATTAAACTCCTTCATTGTTGGCTTCAATCATTTATCAAATGAAAAGTTTTGATAGGATAGGATGATATATAATGATGGTTGCTTATCGTTTGCTATTGTTGTAATTTTATAAGATTAATGAATTAACTGAGAAAATCAGGTTTCTGCTGGAAGAGTTGCGAAAAGAGAGTAAACGATAACTGTCGTATCTTGACTAGTTTTATAAGAATACTTTTCCAATTACCATTATTTTATATCTCGCTTAATACATTTATTTTAACGAATACACTTCTCATCTGTTGTTATACGATATTTTCGTCATATTACGATATACTACAGTAACCGAAGTAGGTATGCAGCGAAAACAGTAACCGAATTAGGCATATAGTAAAATTTATTAAAATGAATAGCAGAAAAGATAAATAGTAGAAAATTTTAATGAATAGCAGGAAAGATTCCACTAGAAAAAGTAGTGAAACATTATATCATAAATAAATTTGAATAAAAATATCAATTTAAATTAAATGTTGGAATCAATAGAGATTATTGAGTTAATATATACAATGATAATCTCTTTTTTAGCAATGAGTTATGCGGCAATTTTTGCACATTTATCCAAATACGTTCGTGGATGCTACTACACTAATTGGGCGCAATATCGACATGGTTCAGTGATGTTTGAAATAATTTCCTTTTTTATTAAATAGTTGAAATAGTTTCAGAAGAGTACAGTGTACAGCTTTTCGAATAAAAATTTGAAAGTCAGTGAAAAGAGGACTAAGATCAAAAAATAGCGAACTTTAAGTTATGTGCACTGTACAACTTGAAATATTAATGGAAATAAACATCAATCAGAAACATTAACAATTAGCAATTCAACTTTTGGAAAAATTAGAATTCCATTTTTTGTAACATTTCTTAAATGTAAGCATCGTAAAATAATATGATGCAAAAAAACAAATAAATAGACAAGGTAAAATAAGGATTATATTCTTGCCAGAAAGTGAGCTGCAATATCAATTAATTTAATATGCATTTTCATCTTAAAGGAGTAGGCAAATTTCTCCCGGAAGATATCCCAAAAGGCCTATGCACTCATATTCTTTATGCATTCGCCAAAGTTAACGAGGAAGGCAAATCATTGTAAGTTACAAATAATATATGTAATGAGAAATATGAATTAAATTTTCGCTCATTAAATTATTTCAAATTTCCGTTAACTACACAAGTAATCACATAGAATGAAAATGTTCTTAAGCAACATGTAGTAAGACACGTCAATTTTACGCAATATATCCTTGCATGACGTTTAAAAGGCGCGTAACAACAGTCAGTAAATATTATATTTAATTTCCTATTTCAATAACTTTGAATCTCAGAGCATACGAATGGAATGATGAAGATAACGAATGGTTAGAAGGGATGTACTCACGTGTGATGAAGCTGAAAATGAACGATCCAGCACTGAAAATTCTTCTTTCCTATGGTGGTTACAATTTCGGATCATCAACCTTCACTGTTCGTTATTTTAAAGTTGATGCTTGCTAGACATATTAACGGCGAATCTTAATAACATATAACTAACGTGATGCAATATCATCTTTGATGTTTCCGAATTTACGTCTCATCCTTTTTCTTGTTAAAATATCAACTGTAAATTTAATAATACGAAATATTTTAAGGCAATTGCAAGGTCAGAGGAAAAGCGGAAATATTTCATTCAATCAGCTATAGAGTTTCTCCGCAAGCATAAATTTGATGGATTCGATTTGGACTGGGAATATCCAACCGATGTGGCTGAGGAACATGCCAAACTTGTTGAGGTGAGTTTAATTCCATCTTCAATTAAGGATTCATATTTTACTTATTGAAATCTGTAGCACTATTTCAGTAATCACACATATATTATCAAATTTTAATTCGCATTCCTAATAGTTTTAGCAGTTTTAGTATTCCTATTCCTGATACTATGCTAATACTGCGGGAAATACTTGAGTATACCATGCTGCTTCAATAATAATTCAAGAGTGACTATTGCTTCAGAAGCATTATTGAATATAACCTATCTGATCTGAGATTTTTAGGAATTGAAAGCAGCGTTTGTGGAAGAAGCCAAGAAGTCTGGCAAGCAACAATTACTTCTTACTGCCGCTGTATCAGCCGGGAAAGCGACTATTGATCAAAGCTACAATATTCAGTCGCTTGGAAAGTAAAACTCTTCCCTTTCTTTTCCCTGTTTTGCCATTACTTTTATAATACCAAAAATTTTGCAGAAATTTCGACCTAATATTTCTGATGTCGTATGATTTACATGGCACTTGGGAGAAGAATGTCAACTTACACGGGAAATTGTATCCAACAGGCGGGAAAAATTCTGGAACTGATGTCTTGAATACCGTTAGTTCTTAAAATGCATAACAATTTGTAATTTTTTGTCTTTTGCATGAAGATGAATTCTATATTTGAATTCTATATTCTTTCAGGAATTTGCAGCAAATTATTGGGCAAGTAAGGGTATGCCGAAGCAGAAAATTATCATTGGAATTCCGACTTATAGCCGTGGATGGACATTAGACAATCCTTCAGACACAGCGATTGGAGCAGGAGGTAGTCGTCCGTCGTCAGCATCGGCAACATATCCCTCTGGCGGTGCTGCAGCTTATTGGGAGGTTTAATTTAAAGTTCTAAATTATTTTCAAATACCTTCCCTGCTAGTCCTTCAAACTCCATCTTCAATCACTAGAAAATTATTTTAAGATATGCAAATATTTGAAAGAAGGTGGCAAAGAAACGATCGATAAACGAAGTGTTGGAGCGTATATGGTAAAAGGAAATCAATGGCACGGTTATGATAATGAGGAAACTATCAAAATTAAAGTAATTTTTATTTTCCTTATTTTCAATAGTAAGAAGTTGATCCAAATAATAAAGAATAGGAATTAATTGCTTGCATATTTGTTTTGTTTTAATAAACAAATTCATGTTATGTTGTACGTTTAAGAGAACGGATAAAATGGAATTATTGTTTTTCATTATGAAAATTTGCAGATGAGATGGCTCAAAGAAAAAGGTTATGGCGGTGCTTTTATATGGACTCTTGATTTCGATGATTTCAAGGGTAGAAGTTGTGGCAAAGGTCCATATCCGTTAATGAATGTTATCAATAGTGAGCTTCGAGATGGCTTCATAGTTTGGGTGAAGAATTTGTTACCATTTCGTAATAATTTATTGTATGATAGAAAAATGCCGCTAGTATGTGCCGAAACAAAGAAAATTGAAATTTAACTGGAATATTACAATTTAATGATTTGCGTCTGAGTTTGTGTCTGAGTGAGCATCAAGGCGAGCAGTTTGAAGTAGACGCTATAGAATCTATTCAAAGAATCTATTCAAAGCTTTCGTTTATGTTTCATTTCTTTCTAAGCTGTCAGCTAAATTTTCATATTAATTTTGCTCTATATCATAATTTCAGTTTTAAAAGATAATGAAACAATCATTTTCAGTCATCAACGTTGGCAATAAAAAGAACGCAAATGACTTCAGGAAGTAATGAAATTAAAATGACGATAGATAGTGCTCTGAAGACCAAAAATATTAAAATTGAAAAGATTGGAAGCGATCTTGAGACAGTATCGGAATCTTCTGGTTTGTTATTCGCATGTTAAAATATCATTTCATGTTGATTTGAATGGAATTCAGTTCTCGAATTTTGCTTTCATTAGAGAGAACGAAAAATAGTTAATTATGCATTGATGAAACACTTTAATCTGGTATGATACTTCAGGTATGAAATGTTTCGAATCTAACGGTTTGTTTCCGCATCCAAATGATTGCCACTTATTCATTCATTGTGCAAATAACTATCCACACGTGAAACAATGTCCGCAACGTACCTTTTTTAATAATAATGTCAAAGTTTGCGATCATTTGGTAAATGCGCCTGTTACATGCAAATAATTTGTTGTTCTCATAAATAAAAGTTTAGCGTAAAAGTTTTGTCAACTAAATGAACTGGCAATATTTGTATGATAATTCAATATTATATTAAGAGGATAGGCACGATTACAACAGAACAATGGTCAAGAATGATCAACAGAATCATTTAAAACTGAAAACATTCGTCGCCATTTGCATTTCATTTTTTGCATAGCAAAAAATCTTATTTCTATCTTACTCAAACAACTATCAATTATTAATATCTTATTCCGATTAACATTTCGATACAGGAAGAATGATTTGAAAGATGAATAAGGCACAAACGAAGGAAGAAATTTCGATAGATAGTTTAAGCAGATACTTATAGAATTTGAACGGAAGAGAGATAGATGCCAAAAGACAAAAAACACCATTCGTTTACATTACGATTAAAGCGCTCTGATCGAAAATGAATTCATCATCAGAATCTTTTATATTTCGTTCCGCAATTTTCACTTCTCGCACGAAGGGACGATGAAATATTAAGCATAAAAATATAGCAAATTTGATTTTATTGCTGTATTTTTATGCTCAATATATCCTAATAATGATGAAAATTTACATTTTCCTATTTTTGAATAAGTTATGATTTTGATTTTGCTACGATTTTACAATTTCTTTTTGTTATGATTTTCACTTTCAACTTTTCTGCAATTTCTTTTGCACTCATTATTATATCATTTAATTTCGTATTTTCTGCTTTTGAGCTTCGCAATTAACTATAAGCTTCATTGTAAGCTGGGAAAATATTTGACGATTGGTGTAAATATATTCAACATTTTTGATTTCTGCTTTAACATTTATTGACACAGCCTGATAGTTGTTTTCATTTTAGTTTGCAACTTTGTGACTTTATTCGCAAGCTGTGCAAATATTTCTCATTCATAATAATATCCGCAACAAACCAATACCTTTTAGAATATCTCGATATTAAAACAACATCGAAACAGTAATCATAGAAGGTACTAAACTGCAGATAATGACAAGTGTTATCGAACCAACCATGAAACCTTTCGACTGATTATTTTCAGATTAAAAAAAGCCATCTTGATTTTCTTATTGTCATTTGGACAGTGCTCAATTATCTGAAGTTTACTTTTTATGCACTCTCGGCAGAATTCTCTCTCTCTCAGCAGAACAGAAAGACACATTCATACAGAGATAAAAGAAACTTAGGAAATCTTTAATATGTATTCATTATAAATGCATTTTTAATGGTCAAGTAGTTCCTTTCAAATCAAAGTTTGCTAAATTTTGATAAACAAACTTGACATGAATCATCGATAAGTCATTTGGAACATTCAATACGTTTATTATATCACCATCACTATATATGATCTCTTCCTTTCCTTTTTGTCCCTAAAAATTTTTAAATATTACGGTATGAGAGTCCCGAAGCGATGAACATACAGCTATGATATTGAAATTTATTTCAGATGAGATTCTGGGAACGATTTTGCAGGTCATCGGTTCTTTCTGAAGTATTCGAAAACTACATTTGAGTGTTTCAGAATTTGAAGCTTCTTTTAGAGAAAGATAAGTTATGAATGAATAATAATGATTAAATTTCATTACTTCAATAAGCGCAACCTTTCTTCCTTATCTAACATATTCGCAATTAATATTATCCATTCTTTCATTTCAAATTCTTTCCTGTTTATTTGTTTATATCATTCAAATAATTTTATATTATTCATTTCTTTGCAACAGTTTCCTAAATGAGTATGACAATAAATATTTTTGTATTTAACATATTTCTGCTAGCAAATTATTATTTCAGTATGTTTACATAAAGAGTAAGTAAACAAACAAAAAATACTTCATATTTGCTTGTATGCGTTAATATATAGGGAAATTTTGCGATATAACTGAGTAAATAAAAAATAGAAACTATATTTATATGCTCATAATAAAGCTAATCGGCATATAATAATTTGTGTACGAATAAGTTATTGCATGATGGCGCTAATAATTTTAATTATACTTGGTGTTACAATAATATCTATGCAAAGTAAGTAAAATTTGATGAGAATTATTTAGTAAAATATAGATAACGAATAGATTTGAATTAATCAGAAGTTATTAAAGGTGAAATGAAATATGTTAATTTCAGAATTTTAATATATTCCATATATTTATTTGGTAATATTTCTTTATTTGAAAAAATTTTTACAAACGTGAAAGTAAGACGGAATATTCGGTTAGTGAAGAAAGAAGAAAGGAAGAAGAAAAGAATTTAAATTCCAATCACATCCATTCCTTTAATATTTAAACCTTACTAAGTTATATAAAAGAGCGATAAATGAATTTAATTAAACAAATGTTAAATTGACCTTTTTCTACGTGATATATTTAGTGTATACTGTTAAATCATATTATGAAATCTCATTTATTATATTATCATTTATTAATCATATTTACTATTTTTTTATTTATCATATTATTATTTATCCATCATACTATTATTTATTTACGTAACATGCTATGAAATTTTATTTACAATCGAAGAATTTATCGTAATGCAGGTATCATCAAATGATTGAAATCCTTGATTATTGCTTCAATCATTTATCAAGTAAACGTTATGATGATGATTGCATAAATTCATATATGATAATAGTTGCTTATAATTGCTATTACTATAATTTTATAAGCTTAATGAAATAATTGGAAAAAATAGATTTATGCATAGAGGAGCTGAGAAAAGATAGCAAAACGCTACTGTCATATCCTGTCTAGTTTTATAATAATACTTCTTCAGTTACCATTATATGTCATATACCTACTTCGGTTACTGTAGCATATCGTAATTTGATGAAATTATCGTATAACACCAGATGATAAATGCATTCATTTTTGTGAATAGTAAAAAAGATTTCGCTAAAAAAAGTAATTAGAAATTATATCATAAATGAATTTGAATAAAAATATCAATTGAAATTGAATATTGGAATTAACAGAAAATTTTAGGATAATATAAAAATATATAATCATCTTTATTTAGCAGTGAGTTATGGATCGCTTTTTGCACAATCGTCCAAATACGTTCGTGGATGCTACTACACTAATTGGGCGCAATATCGACAAGGTTCAGTGATTTTTCAATAATTTCCTTTTTATTAAATAGTTGAAAATAGTTTCAGAAGAGTACAGTGTACAGCTTTTCGAATAAAAATTAGAAAGTCGTGAAAAGAAGACTAAAATCAAAAAATGGCGAAGTTTAGTTGTACATTGTACAACTTGAAATATTAATGAAAATAAACATCAATTAGAAACTTTAACAATTAGCAATTCAAATTTCTTTTTTTGTAACATTCCCTAAATATATATCAATCGATCTAATATGTGTTTTCATCTTAAAGGAGATGGCAAATTTCTCCCGGAGGATATCCCAAAAGGCCTATGCACTCATATTCTTTATGCATTCGCCAAAGTTAACGAGGAAGGCAAATCACTGTAAGTTACATATGATATAAGTGATGAGAGATATGAATTAAATTTTCACACTTTCGCTTATTAAATTATTTTAAATTTTGGTGAGTTACTCAAGTGATCGTATAAACTTGAAGTGTTCTTAGGCAACATGCTGCAAGACACGTCAATTTTACGCATTTCCATGACGTTAATGCGGCGCTTAAAGGAGAAGGCAAACAGTAAATATTATTTACTTCTCTAAAATATTCTATTTCAATAACTTTTAATCTCAGACCATTTGAATGGAATGATGAAGATAGC